TTTTCTTTCTCATCCCTGCCCCTTCTCTCTCCCCCTCCGCGTTTTCAGTCCCCTCCCCGTGCGGCTCAGTTTGCCCCGGGGATTGAAATCATCGGCTGGAGAATTCCTGTAGGATAATCAAGCCAGCCCCCCACCCGCCCGCCCCGGGGATGGGCTCCGTGGGTAAAACCTATTCCAACACCTGGCTACCCAAACTGGGAGAAAATCAGTGATTTTTGTGTCTTTGGCACCACAGGCTCAAGCCCCTGGGTGGCTTTATCCTTTATCCCAGCACTGCTGTTGGTTCTTAGCAGACCCAGGCCCAGCCCTGGTGTGCTGTAACCTTTTCCTGGTTGAAATTACAGAGTGTTAAGGGGTTGGAATGGACCTTAAAGCCATGTGCAGGGACACCTTCCACCCTCCCACGTTGTTCCAAGCCCCACCCAGGCTGACCTTGAACACTTCCAGGGATGGGGCAAGCACAGCCTCTGCCCTCAGCACCCAGTGTGAGTTTGCCAGGGTTCTTCACCAGCAGCGTGGGGCAGTGCTGGGGATTTGCAGCAGATCTGTGCCCCACATCCCACGCTGAGCTGAGGATTTGTCTCTGTCCCGTGTGTGCTTCCTGCTGCTGGATCTGTCTGGGCTGTGACACTGTGCTGTCCCTCACAGGTGACCCTGCCAGCGCTGTCCCCCACGATGCAGATGGGCACCATCTCACGCTGGGAGAAGAAGGAGGGGGACAAGATCAATGAAGGGGATCTCATAGCAGAGGTATCCTGGGGATGGGGCTGGGCTGGTCTCTCTTGAGCTGCACGTGTGGCCTGGGGGCTGTCCCCGGCTGAAGACAGATTTTGGATCCCAGATCCCAAGGGATGCTGGTGGGAAGGAGTGGCTGTCAGCCTCTCAGAGCTGGTTTGGGGGCAAACTTCCCTAGAGCTGCTGCCTCAGGGTGATTTTTCCAGAGCTGTGACCCTGCAGCAAACTGGGAAGCTCTGGGCTCACCATTTCCTCTTCTCTCTCAAAGGTGGAGACAGACAAAGCTACAGTTGGCTTTGAGAGCCTGGAGGAATGTTACCTGGCCAAGATCCTGGTGCCTGAAGGAACAAGGGATGTTCCTATTGGGGCTATAATATGCATCACAGTAGAAAAGTATGTATTTTCCTGACCCTTGATGTGAATTTTCCCTCCTGGGGCTTCTGGAGTGCCTTGAGTGAGAGACTGAGGCCATCACCTGATGGGATTTGGGGCTCTGTGTGTTCTTCTAGGCCTGAACATATTGATGCCTTCAAAAATTACACCCTGGATTCTGCAGCAGCTGCTGCCCCCGCAGCCTCAGTGCCTCCCCCTCCAGCTGCAGCCCCCTCCCCACCACCTCAGCCTTCTCCTCAGGCCCCTGGCAGCTCTTACCCTCCTCACATGCAGGTAAGAGAGCACTGCTCCTGCTTTAAGGCTTCTTGCACGCTTTTTCTGCCCCTGGCATTGCTACCTGTGGGGCATTTTGCCATAAAAACTGTCTGGAATGGGAATTTATTAACTGTGCCACCTCAGTTGTTGTGTGCTTAGAGCAGGTGTTGGGGGACATCCCAGAAAGCTTTTTTAATAAATTCATTTCAGCATCCCAGCTGCTGGTGGAGGAGAGGCTTGTCCCTCCAGGGTTGTTGTCTTGAAAAATGTGCCAAAACTGCATTATTTGGACAGTTGTGGTATAAAAAGTCTTCGTGCTTAGTGTAAATAAGCTCTGCTCATATCTCAGAGCAGAGCTCCAGTCCCTGGTGCTCTGGTGACCACACCAGATGTGTCTGTGGGTGACTAATAATGAACTGTGGTTGTGGGTATAACCTTTTTGCTCTGCTTAGGTTTTGAAGTGTATCCACTGATGGATTTGAGCTCTTTGTATACAGGGGGTTGCTTTGACACCCCTTTGAAAAAGAAACTCTGGAATATTGAACCCCATCCCACAGATGAAGCATGTGGGAACTGATTTGTCTGAGATGTTACTCAAAGTCAGTAATAAAAGAATTAATGAATGGCTTCTAAATTTGTGTTTTGGCTACTAAAGTTGCTTTCGTCCCTCTGCTTGCCCCCACTGCCCAGTTTTGCTCCTGGTGTGTGTGTCACAGTGACAAAGTGATTTGCTGCAGCCTTCCTTAGCCTTGCAGGGTGATGGCAGTGATGATTATTTTGATTTATGCATTTCTTGCCCTCTGCTCTTGCCTGCTCTCGTGCTCAGGCCTTGCTCAAAGAAGCCAGAGCAGCACAGTGGGACAGCTCTGCTTAGCTGTCATGGAGCCACACCTAGGAGTGCATTAAGGCTGCTTCTTTAGGTTGGCATCATTTCCCAGGAGTTCACCTGTGTTCCTGAGCCTTCTGGGTGAGCAGGATGTGACTGTGTTGTGTTCTGTGCCTCCCCAGATCACCCTCCCTGCTCTGTCACCCACCATGACAATGGGCACAGTGCAGAGGTGGGAGAAGAAGGTCGGGGAGAAGCTGAATGAGGGAGACTTACTGGCCGAAATTGAGACAGATAAAGCCACAATCGGTGAGTCCCCAGCCAGGGTGGGTGAGGTGCTCTTGGAAGGGCCCTGAGCAACCTCTGCCAGCTCCTCTGGCTGCTCAGGGGGTGGTGCTGTGGGACAATTTTTGTTAACATTTCATTCACTGGGGAGACAAACATTGGAGCTCCTAAAAACACTTCTATTTCCTCATCAATCCTTAGCATATGTGTGGAGAGTTCCCTGATGGAAAGGAGTCTCCTGCTTCAGCTGCCAGTCTCCAGCAGCAGCACTCAGAGCAGCTCTGCAGTCCCTCAGCGTTGTTTCTCTCCCCTGCAGGCTTTGAAGTGCAGGAGGAAGGCTACCTGGCAAAGATCTTGGTGCCTGAAGGAACGAGAGATGTGCCCTTAGGAACTCCTCTGTGCATCATCGTGGAGAAGGAGGCTGATATTCCAGCCTTTGCTGACTACCAGGCTGCTGCAGTCACTGACATGAAGGCAGCAGCTCCTTCTGCTCCTCCTCCTCCACAGGTAAGGAGAAGTCCTGGGCACCACTGACAAGCCTGAGCTGCTGTTGACAGTGTGAAGCCCAGGCTTCAAGAGGAGTGTTCTGTTTTGTGAGTGCAAGGCTGATCCACGTGTTGAGAAGTGATCCCTATTTGCCCTCCAAGACAGGTTTTATTAATTCTGATCTTTTTCCCCAGCTCGTTGCTTGTGCCTCCTCATCCTTGAAAATGGGGAGCATAAGTTCTTTGTTTTATTTGGTGTATAGCTCAGCTGACCTTCCCAGTGAGTTTCTGATTTAATTTCTGGGAGCCTTTGGTGCAGATGAGTCACTATCTCTATATTGATAATTAGATGGGCCTGTTCTCTTGCTGTGGGTTCCACTGATGGTTTGGATTCTTTGTTAAGGTGATGGCAACTCCTGCAGCTGCTCCTGCTCCTCCCCAGCCTGCTGCTGCTCCTGCCCCAGCAGCCCCCTCAGCGGGGCCACCCCACAAAGGAGGAAGGGTCTTGGTCAGTCCCCTGGCAAAGAAGTTGGCAGCAGAGAAAGGAATCGACCTTACCCAAGTGAAAGGTACCTTTCCTTTCCACTTCTTTGCTCTCACTATCAGTTTTCTGTCCCTGTAGATCCATATTTTCCTGTTCTTCCTGACTGTGCAGCTGTGAACCAGGAGTTCTGTTCAATAATTCTCTCTGTTGAATAAAACTTTGCTTCAGAAGCAAAGCCATGTTGGAAATAATCAAAATCCTCTCCCATTTTCCTTTGCCTCTTTCAGGTACTGGACCAGATGGCAGAATCACCAAAAAAGATGTGGAGTCATTTGTGCCATCAAAGGCTGCTCCAGTGAGTAGGCTGGAAATCTGTGGGAATGGATCTTACAGGAATGGCAAGGCTCTGTGGAAGGGCAGTTCCTGCATGGAACTGGCATTGCTGGATTGTGTGGGTGGTGGTGACTGTAAGGTTGGGAAATTTAACCTGCCAGAAACACTGATGAAGCCTTCTCCCTTTGTTTGTCCCTTTGATATTCCACTAAGAAAAAAAAAAAAAATAGTGTGCCCCCAGCCCTTCCTTTGGCTGCTAAATCTTCACAGGCTGAGGTCACCCAGTCCCAGCTGGTCCAGCATTGCTGAAGAGAGGGGATCAGAAGGAAAGCCAGACCTAGCAAACCCCAGCCTGTCACTGCTGCCCAGAAGTGTTCTGATGCTGTGGTTTGTGTTGTCCCTGAGCTGTTGGAGGCGTTTCTCTGCGTGCTGCAGTCTGGGAGAGCCCCCCAGCACAGCTCTGCTGTCTGTACAACAACCAGAGCAGGACTGGCTGGGCTGGGAGCTTCACAGCAGCACATCTCGGTGCTGAGCTGCTCAAACACTCCATAATAGCCAAATACAGGGCTTAGCAGGAGCCTGGTGGGCACTGGAGAGGTGGAAATAGCTGCTGCTCTTACCAAGAGGCAGCTTGGCCTCAGCACTGAGCTGCAGCTGCTCTCTGGGTGTTTCTGGGGTGACGCTGGTGTTCCCTGCAGGCTGCAGCTCCGGAGGCAATTCCTGCTGCAGTGGGGGCAGCGCCCGAGGGGACCTTCACAGACATCCCCATCAGCAACATTCGCAGGGTAAGGTTCCAGGCTTTTCCAAGATCACTCTTCTGGCTGGGAATGTTCCAGGCTGATGTGTGTTTGTGCTCTGCACACCCCCAGGTCATTGCTCAGAGGCTGATGCAGTCCAAACAAACAATACCTCACTACTACCTATCCATCGATGTCAACATGGGGAAAGTCCTGGTGCTAAGGAAAGAGCTCAATCAGGTGAGTTCTGGCATCTTGGCTTGGGAAAAAAACATTCTTTCCAGTGCCTTTTGTGGGTCAGTTCTGGACTGTGACAGAAAGATTTTCCTCATGTCTGCTGATTCCTGACTTCCCTAAGGGGCTGCTCTGAGCTCTGCTTGGTGGCGATTCATTATTGCAGGTGGAAAATAAAAGGATAGAAAGCTTTATAATAGTAAGAAAGGTAGAAAAACAATTAGGCAGAATAATAATTCTAAGCCAAGTTTGAGGAAAACTTAAGCATTAAAAAAAACTATGTTCTTAAATTATGGAGATACTTTCACCGTCTAAATAATCTTTGAATTTTAATGCTTGCAGGTGGTGTGATTGTTTTTAACATTTCCTGTGAACTGCAGCGACTGCCCTCATCAACTGGGGGGATGTGCAGGGGACAAACTGACACCTGGAATCTCTTTTTTTTGCAGGAGGTCTCGGAGAACATTAAGCTTTCTGTCAATGATTTCATAATTAAAGCTTCTGCATTGGCATGCTTGAAAGTGCCTGAGGCAAATTCTTCATGGATGGACACAGTTATTAGGCAGTAAGTTTATGGCATGGTCAGAGCCAGAAAATTCCTTTGCTTGTGACAAAACAGAACTTCTGGGATTTGAGGGAGGGGGAAATATGTGATGTGAAGGGGAGAGGTTCTGTTAAAGTGATCAAATCTTTGAATCTAAGGCCGGTGGGCAAGGTGAAATAATTGTCACAAATTCACGTTTATTTTGGGTTGTCTGGACTGTTTTGAATTTTTTCTGTTTGCTGCCTTGCTGGAGTGGTCTCAGCTGCTGTGTGTGTTGCAGGAATCATGTGGTGGACGTGAGTGTGGCCGTCAGCACCCCCGCAGGGCTCATCACCCCCATCGTCTTCAACGCCCACATCAAGGGCCTGGCTGCCATCAGCAAGGACGTGGCTTCCCTGGCAGCCAAGGCCCGGGAGGGGAAGCTCCAGCCTCACGAATTCCAGGTGAGACTCCCACGGTGCTGTTAAACTCTGCTGCTCTTCACTTGTTTAAAAGGAGCAAAAGCTGTTTGGTGATGTTTGAGCCTTGTTCAGTAATCACAGAATATCCTGAGTGGGAAGGGACTCACAGGGACCATTGAATCCAGCCCCTGGCCCTGCCCTGACACCCCCAAATCCCACCCTGGGCATCCCTGGAGCTCTGGCAGCCTCAGGGCTGTGCCCATTCCCTGGGGAGCCTGGGCAGTGCCAGCACCTCTGGGGACAGAACCTTTCCCTGAGCTCCATCCCAAATTCCCCTGGCACAGCCCCAGCTGCTCCCTGGATCCTGTCCCTGCTCACCAAAGAGCCTCCCCTCATCAGGAAGCTGCAGGCTGGAATGAGTTCCCCCCTCTCCTCATATTCCCACACAAAACAGTATTTTGAGTTTGCCCACGAATGTGTTTATTTTCTTTTAGGGTGGGACTTTCACCATTTCCAATTTAGGAATGTATGGGATTAAGAATTTCTCTGCCATAATCAATCCACCTCAAGCCTGCATCCTGGCAGTGGGTTCCTCAAAAGAAATACTAGTGCCAGCTGATAATGAGAAAGGGTGAGTTTTCATCTGATCCTGAACCCAAGCTCTGAAATCATGCCTGATTTCCTAACACCTACATTAGATAATAATTGTAAAAACCTTAAAATGTATTGTTGACACAGTGCTTTCAGTACCTGCCTCAATTTACATTTAGGGAAAACCTAAAGGATGGATCCTGTATATAATATCCCCTTGCTGGGAGCTCAAAGGGTTGTTTCCCTTTGTGTGGGGCTGTCTTGGTGCTGCAAGGAAAGCTGAGCTCCCTGCCCTGAGGGGACACAGAGGTGTTTTTAGTGGGGAATTCCTTCCTTGGTTCCCCTCGGAGAAGGAATGAACATGATCTGCTCCCCAGTGCAGCTGGGGGACACATCTGTCACCAAGCACCGGCTGCTGTTCCTGCCTCTCCACGTAGCTTTTTTACCAAGTGGCACTGCCCTGCAGAGGAGTATTAACCCTTTTTTTGTTGTTTTTCTCCCAGCTTTGACGTGGCCAGCATGATGTCTGTCACCCTGAGCTGTGATCACCGTGTTGTGGATGGAGCAGTTGGAGCACAGTGGCTTGCTGAGTTCAAGAAATTCCTTGAAAAGCCAGTAACCATGCTGCTATAATTTAACCATGCAAAACAGAATTTTCGTGGGTCACACTGTTGTGTTTTAAACAAGCTATTTAGACTTTAGTGTTCAGACTTTGAGAGAGTTCCTTTTTTTATTTAAAAAAAATGTATTATATTATCTGGTAATGTTATTTACCAGTATGTACAGAAAAAAAAAAAAAGTTTGCAAAAGTGCTTTTCAGAGCAATATTACAGCTACACTGTATTTTTATACAGTCAGTTAACTTGCAAACTCTTCCAAAACAGAGTTAAGCATCCCAGATTTTAAAAATAAACAAAATTATCCTGGCATTGTGCCAGCTGCTTCTAAAACTCGGGTGCCCAGGGGGTGCATACCAACAGCTCCATGACCTCGGTGTTGTCAGAGACTGGAATTTCAGACATCTCTCGACAGGAGCACAGGTGAGATGGCCCAGAAGGGGACCAGGAGGAGGGGCAGTCCCCCACATCCTGGGCTGGGGAGATGGCACAGCACTGAAGTGCCTGGGGGTGGTGTCTCAGAGGCCAGCACGGCTGTTCCAAATTTGGGATTTGGCACTGGCCAGGACATTCTGAGCTCCGGGATCCCTTCTGAGCACTTTAAGGTGGCAGAGCACTGCTGTGTGTGGGGCACAGCTCTGGGGCACCGCAGGGAAGGGGTGGGCTGTGCTGGCTCCTCGGGACTCTCACTGACATCTGCTTTTGCTGGGAAATTCTGTAGTTGCTGATCTCTGGCCGAGTTAACCCTGGGCTCTGGTGCCATGGAAGTTTCTGTTTTGCAGAACGTTCAGTGTGTGTTGGGAGGCAGTGTAGACAAATCACACATGCTGCTAACCCCACCAGGGGATGTTAATCATGTGAGGACCGGGATGTTTGGGGTTTTTCAATTCAGGCATTCTACCATAGGAAGCTCTGACTTCAGCCACTGGAATTGCAGATCTCCCCTGGGCTGTCTATGTTGTCCAGCCTCGGTGAAGCTGCAGAATGTGCTCTCCATGTACATATTGTATGTAAGGTGCTTCTCTAGTCTGTTGGACTCGTGTCCACTTACCCCAGGCATTGTACCCTGCGAGGGCTGCAGTGCTGAACATTCTGAAATTCCACTTTCCACATGGAAACGTTGATGTAAAAAAAAAGGACAAACGTGCAGTAATGACAGAGTGACCAGGAGAATTAAATAGGGGGGCAGAGTTGGGAAAAAAGGAAGGAGTTGTTCAGGCTGATCCTGTTATTCTGTATATTGCATTAAGTACTGTCTCCTGTAAAATTCTACATAATTCACTAAAGATACTGAAAGAAAATACTGTGGAAATTAAATATTTTTGTGGGAACTATTTAGTGTCTGGTTGCTGTGATGCCTTGCTTAAAATCAAAAAAAAAAAAAAAAAAAAAAAAGTGCATTAAGATTTTGGATTTTCTTGAATGGCCTGAAATACCCTGATTCCAGACTGGCTCTAGTGAACCCATGTTCCATTAAATATTTGGAATTGACAACTACTAAACCATGTCCCAGTGCTTTTCTCTTCAGTTGTGTGTGGCTTTCCTGCTCTGGGTCAGTGCTCTGCAGTGCTACTCACCCTATTAACGTGAAATTTAATCACAGATCTTCCCAGATATTTGCTTTTTGCTGTCTGCACCTCCCTCTCTGCGCTGTCCAGCTGTGGGCTGTGTGTGACAGCTTGTTCTTCCAGCATTAAATACTGCTCTAACCATGGGATCCTGTCCATTTATTTAACAAAATCACATCACCACATTCCTGCTGTCCCTTCAGTAAAGCCCGGAGGCATTGGTGGTTCTTTACTACAGCACATAACAAGTACTCTTAACTAAATATTCAAGTATTCGTTGAAGATTTCCAGTCTTTACTCATTTCTTCCTAAGTTTGGTCGTGCTGCTATTCCTCCAACCTTCCTTTTCTCCCCGCATATCTAAAGGCATTTGAGATATTCACCCCTCATGAGTAAAAAGTGAATTAAAATCACCCTTAGCCCCACTCCTACCAAGATTTTCACTCTGGGCTTTTGTTGTGTAATCTGCCAAAACTTCACGAAGTTTCAGTCGTTCTCCCAAGCTGTGTTTCTGCAGAAGTATCTTACAGCAGCTTTGCTACGTGCTGGCTAAGAATATCCATGATTACGGAAAACAGGTAATTTAAAAAATAAATTATAAATAAGACCCAAAATTGATTAAAATTATTATTTAACATTTAATTAAAATCATCACTTAAAATTTGAATTTAAATAGAATTTAAATCATTGCTTAAAATGGAATTTAAACCATTGCTTACAACAGAATGTAAACCATTATTGAAATTTGATTAGTTAAATAATTATTTTAACCACTAACGAGTTACGTGTTTCCAGCATTGCCCAGCCAGGGTGTTTCTGGGAGGTTTTGCGTTCCTTTGGGCTGTTTTTTCCCCAAAAGAGGATTTATTTAGAGCAGCCGCCTGCCGTCCGGGCAGCGGGGCCGGGCGGTGCGAGCCGCGGGGGCAGCCGGGGCTGGAGCCGGTGCCGGGCCGGGCGGTACCGGGGAGGTCCCGGGGCCGTTCGGGGCGGTACCGGCTCCGTTCGGGGCGGTAACAGGTCCTTTTGGGGCCTTACCGGAGCGGTATCGGGTCCGTTCGGGTCGGTACCGGGGCAGTCCCGGGTCAGTTCGGGGTAGTCCCGGGGCAATCCCGGGTCGGTCCCGGGTCAGTTCGGGGCGGTCCCGGGTCAGTTCGGGGTAGTCCCGGGGCAATCCCGGGTCGGTTCAGGGCGGTCCCGGGTCGGTCCCGGGTCGGTTCGGGATAGTCCCGGTCGGTCCCGGGTCGGTTCGGGGCGGTCCCGGGTCGGTTCGGGGCAGTCCCGGGTCGGTCCCGGATAGTCCCGGGTCGGTTCGGGTCGGTTCGGGTCGGTCCTGGGTCGATCCCGGGTCGGTTCGGGGCAGTCCCGGGGCGGTCCCGGGTCGGTCCCGCATAGTCCCGGGTCGATCCCGGGTCAGTTCGGGGCAGTCCCGGGGCAGTCCCGGGTCGGTCCCGGATAGTCCCGGGTCGATCCCGGGTCAGTTCGGGGCAGTCCCGGGGCAGTCCCGGGTCGGTCCCGGATAGTCCCGGGTCGGTCCCGGGTCGGTTCGGGGCAGTCCCGGGGCGGTCCCGGGTCGGTCCCGGGTCGGTCCCGCATAGTCCCGGGTCGATCCCGGGTCAGTTCGGGATAGTCCCGGTCGGTCCCGGGTCGGCTGGGCCGCCCGGAGCCCGCGGCCCGCCCGGCCCTGGCGGCGCCGTTGCCCGGAGACGGCGCCGGAAGCGGCGCGCGCGGCCCCGCCGCGTTTCCGCGTCCCCGCCCGGCCCGGCCCGGCCCCGGCAGCGGCGAACAGCGGCACCGGCAGCGGCCAACAGCGGCACCGGCAGCGGCGAACAGCGGCACCGGCAGCGGCCAACAGCGGCACCGGCAGCGGCCGCAGCATGTCCCGCGTGCCCGTGGGGAAGGTGCTGCTCCGCAACGTCATCCGCCACACCGGAGCGCACAACAAGGTGAGGCCCGGGCCGCCCGCGCCGAGCGGGGCCTGCGGGGCCCGGCGGGGCTGCGGGGACACCGGAGAGTGCGGGACCTCCCGGTGTGCGGGGACATC